AAATCGTACATATCTCGAAACATCAAGATGCGCTTGTATTCTTCTATTCTAATTCCTTTTGCATTCTCTGTAAGCAAAACGTGGAAATGTATGGCGAAACTAGTCAAAGAGATGGTTGCTTCCCATAGGAGTGCCTGCGAAAGATCATGAAAATACGATACGCGGATCACATAACAGATGAGGAAGTTCTGCGCCCCTCTGGTATGAATAACCTTCACGTGGTTGTGGCACGGAGCAAACTTCGACTGGCCGGTCACATGTTGCGTATGCCGCAGCATTGGTTCTGAAAACGGCCTTGTCTTGAGCATCTGAAGGAGCCAAGCGAGGAAGAGGCTGTCCCAGGAGCACGTGGAGAAGAACGTTCGACAACGACTCAAAGTCATGAACGTTTGCAGGGAAGAAGGAGCAGCTGTTGCAAGAAAACTTTGCAACCATTTTTTTTCATCACGAGTTGTTCTTGAAAGGAATGTAGAATCGAAATTGCAGATGTCTTGTGACACTATACGTTAGTGTTACGTAGACCAAATAATCTTTCCTCACTAACTGTTGCTCAAGGTTGACGGTTAAACTAGACACACTTCCATTTGTAAATAGGACTCTGAAGGGAAGTCAATAGTGAAACTTCGGAGGTATGGGGATTCTACGCAATAGAGGCAGTGGTCGTCGAGTGAATAAGAGTGCAGACTCATGTCTGCACTTAGGAAGAGCGCGAGTTCAATCCCTGTCGAGGCGAAATCCATGCCTTGCAAAAGTTGCAAAAGTGGTATCGGTACCAGCGTTAGGCCCAGGTTGACACGGCGGCTGATATAGAAACCCAGTCGCACCAAATATATCAAAGGTCTCCAAAATATCAGTGATAAAATTAGAACATCGCCAGGGGAGGCGCACAGGACCCCTGCCCGAGTCCTGTGAACAACATACAAGCGCTACCGAGAAGTGTGCGACCCTGTCGAAGAAGATGATGCGAATCGGGTCTCTAAACACTGGATCGCTTATTAGAAAGGTTGCCGACCTAATGAAACGCTACAAGTCCTATGCCTTCCTGCAAAATTCAACCATCAAAGATCCGTCAAAAAGCTGCAAAGTTCAGAGAATTTAGAGAGTGTCAATCTCTATTACAGCGTATTACAGCGGAGAAGACCTCAAATGAAATGGTGTGTCCATAGCAGTGGCGGAGTCCCTCAAAAACTTTGTCATCGCCGTCAATTTTATCAGCAGTCGAATATGACCATGAGGATAAGAACAAAGGATACAAAACAATGATATCCTCAAGCCGGGTGCCCCGTACGTGCAAAAGATGAGTTCTATTCGAGCCTCGACGATGCCAACAGATCAGTTCTAGAAGGGGACTATATCGCCATAGGAGTGGTCTCAATGGGCACGTCGGCAGCGAAAGGTAGGGGAACAGGAGTCAGAAACGAAGGAGAGAAGGGTCCTCAAACTGGCCATATCTCATGACTGGGCAGTCTGCGGCACCTTCTTCGCGAAAAGGAAGTTCCAGTAGGTGACCTACAGCAATAGAGAAGGAAAATGGAGACGTCCTCACAGAAGCCAACCCTCGAAACCATAAAGGACATCAAGGAACTGTCTGGCGAGCAATCTACTCTGCAGCACAGACCTCATAACAGACTAGCCATGGAGCTTTCCAAGAAACCAAATCATTAAGGACTAGAACGGAGCAGAGGATTCGCCGTGAAAGTCACTATACAATATGCGAGGGAAGTGCTGGGAGGGAATCGAATTGAATTTTGAGGAGATAAGGAAGCGTGGTTCTGGAATGATAAGTCCAACGGGCTGTGGGGCAGAAGAAAGCGGCCTACAAGATTTAGCTGCCTACCGAACTTCCAAGAGCCCCGCCAAGGGTGCCGTGGCGAAAGCAAGAAATAAGGAAATGGAGTTTTACGAGAAATTCGATAACGGAGAGGGGACAGTTTATCTTCAATCTGACCAAAGCGCGGCACCGGGCTTTGCAGGACAACGAGATAGTGGAGTCCGTGAAGAACAATAAGCGGAAAAAATACTCTTCAAACTCCTGAACGAAGAATTCCCTCAAATAGAAGCAACGGTTGTCCCAATGCACCCTGCACAGAATATGAGGTGCGTAGGGCATTGGGAAGATGAAGGCTGAAAGAGCAACTGATCTGGATGGGGCACCGATCGAGATATGGAAGACTCTCAGAGAGGTTGGGATAAAGTGGCTCACCCGCTTCCTAAACACTGTGACTATTAAGGAAGAATCTCAGGTACGAGGAGGAGCGGCCCCATCGTCCACACGTTCAAGCAGAAGGGAGACGTGATGGAGTGTGCCAACTACAGAACAGTCGGGTTGACTATTAATGCGGAGAAGCCTTACGAGCGTTTATTCGACTCAAAATCAAGAGAATTGATCACGATCTCACGAAAACAGTTCGGCTCCATGCCTGAAAGGCCTATAATGGATGCCATCTTTATAGCTAGACAAGTAATTTAGAAGTAACGAGGAAAGTCCTTCAGCTCGAAGGAGAGCGCGGAGTCAGTCGTCGACAGTCTCGGGGAGGCCATCGAAGCATAGTCCAGGCTGCAGAAACCTGAATAAACGCGGCAGGGACGAAGTGGAGGGAGTAGACTAGTGTCCTTTGCGACCGACGGTGCCCAAGAACGCTCAAAGGAAGTTGCATACGGCAGTGGTGAAGCCCACGATGCTCTATTGCAGCGAATGTTGGCCCTTGAACAGCATCACTCTGCTAAAATGAGGACGCTCAGATGAGCCTGCCGTCAGACGCGACCCTGCTGGATTAGAAACTAAGAAGTTAGAGCATTCACGCGACCAGCCTCTGTCCAGCTCGAGACGAGCCAGCAGCGTCTGCGATGGTATGGACACGTACTGAGAAGACCATCGTATCATCCTATAAGGGAAGCAATGGGGTTTTAGTAAGCGACCGCGAGGAACCACAAAGAATAGGCGGCGAGTTGGATCAAGAAGAACTTCGAGAAGGTGACGGCAGAAAGTGCCGTGTATATAAGGAAGTAAAGACGGCTGACAAAAATTACAGACCCTTCACAGTGCGGTATCAACGCTAGCGAGAAGACTATGATGGCAACGGCAACAGCGATACCATTTTAGTCCCTAGTCGCCATCTTACAGGGCAGTGAGTGGTGGGTGTTGTTGTCATAGATGGCATTTGTAGGACCTATTCCTGCATGTGTCGACGTCGCTGGACTCGGCACATGCGGTAGGCGTTTGCTCTGCATAGTACTTGGAGGTGCCACGAAAATGGTAGCTTGCGAGTGCGGCTTGCTAACACTAACTTTAGTATGACGGGAATCTTGAACTTTCATTATCCTTAAATGTGCAGTTCGCAATAATTTTGAAGTACTCGTTTTTATTCAAAAAGTGGAAGTATAGATCGGGAATAGTTTATCGGTAAGGAAGAAAGCGAGAGAATTCGCCGATTTCAAGGAAAATATGGCTCCTTAAAAGTAGGGAAAATAGGACTTGCTCGAGATTGCCATGACGGAAATAACATGGGAGAGGTAATAGGACGAGATTTCAGTTATTGTAATTGCACAAAGAGCTGACTACATCAAGCCAGAACTGTAGAGAATTGTCTTTCATTGTCGCGATCGGTTATGAGAAGTTGTTTGAACTTCTTACATGGGTTCTCTTCCGATCGGTGCAGTCTCTACAATGCCAGTGAAATTCGTCCGAGGATACACACGGGCCAATCTTTGAGCTCTTATGACTCCCTAAGAAAGCCGTATTCCGACCTAATAGTGCCAGATATGGTATAGGCAGTGCCTCAATTGCATCCTGTGGGGGAATCTCAGAAACCATTTTTATCGTGAACTGGGCCTTTAAGTTTCAATTCTCACTATCAATGTCTGTGTTTCTCTGCGGTTTTCTAAGTAATGCTCTCAAGCCAGTTCTTGCGGTAATTGGAAGTAAGGTCAGCACTCGCCTCATTGTTCATTGCAATCTTGTTGTTCACCCTTTACTAAGTCACCATCACTTCCAGGAAGCAGGCAATGGAGCGTTTGCAACCAGGTCATTTCGGACAGATGAAAAGGTCATCGAGGTGCCAGAAGAGCTGATGATCACAGCCGGAAAGATCGCTGATATGGAATTGTACTCAAAGCTTCTTAAGGATTCTAGGTGAGGCAGTTGCGAATTGTAACAGAGTAGAGGATCAAAACAGCATGGTAGCTGCGCCTATACTTGACTAGACGATTTCTTGCACAATGAAGGTACAAGCAGCGTGTATACAAGCAGTCATGAAGGATAAAGTTGAAGTTTTTGCCGTTGATTAAAACGTTTTCGGATGCACCCCTAACTTGGACTTCGATTCAGATTCGCAGTGACGTTTGAATGTACCCTGTACAATGCTTGCAGTAGCAAAACAAAATGCGAGTTGGTGCTTTTATCCTCCCGGACAATCCTAATGCCAACCGACAGAAGGAATCTAAGGCTCAGTTGGCCTGGGCGAATATCGTTTCGGGATTCAATCTCCGTACATCGCATGGGCGGCAGTGCGACACTACGCTACACCACCTCCGCCCTTGGAAGGACATACGTAGTAAATAATCCACTGATCTATGTTTATACGACTTCGCAGCACGGTTCTTTTAAAGATGAACCCGCTTTGATTGGTCAACCTTTCGAGAAAACCGCTGTCGAAAAAGTAACTGAAATTACTGCGAATCAGTGAATTACTCGATCAAGCTCCAAGCTCAGCCTTTCTCGACAAGTCCCAGAAGCAGGAACTTTTCCTCTTGCGTTTAGGCATCTGGTAGTAGAAACCAAACCTTTCAAAGCTTAGCAGTACTTCGACTATTTGCTCGAAATGTCGGTGGAATGAAGCGGTTCTAATTAACAAACATCTACCCAAAAGCAGCACAAGACACTGTGTAACATGGGCTGATTTCAAGAATAGCGGACGTGGAATTTAATGCTAATGGTCTATTCTTTGTTCAATTGAAGGTTTTTCCCTACACCTTTTCAACTTCTCACTCTGTTCTTCTGCATGGAGGATGAGGACACGTCGTTGTATGCACCATATCTCAAAATGTTGCCTAAGGTAAGTGCAGTAACTTTTAGTCAAGAGGCTCCCTGCTCAATACATAAGCTTGATGTCATTTTTGATGCTAATCGGCTAATTTATGTTTAGAATTTCACAACGCCATCATATTCGGGTCAAACGATAGATCCTAGTCATTTACCGTTGTCAGTCCGAGAGTACTGGTGTACGCAACAAAGAGATCTCGAAGAATCTTGGAGAAGAGTAGGAGATTATTATACTTGTGAAAGTGGAAAGGAAGCAAAAATATTGAGCATTACCCTTCAGATCAACGAAGTCTTCCCAAATATTAGTCATGAGAAGTTCTTATGGGCATGGCACGTGGTCAACACTAGATGTATTTATGTGGAGAATAAACCGCACGCGAGTGTTGATAATTCGTTAGGAGGTAAGGAAAAATTTAACACATCACTTCAGTCGGAGCAAATGGAAATCTTAGTACGAAATGTTTGAGAAGGGGATGGGGCAAGGAGACAGGGACACAGGACGATTTCCATCGCGGTATATTTTTCTCTTATGATTCGCGGCTGCAACCCATTTCCGACGGGATGGCAAATAACGACATCCAGTGGGGGTATTTCTACACGTATTCTCATGAACAGCGCCAGAAACTTGGAGGAAATACTGTATTCTTACCTGTGATCTCAAACCTTCCCCTTCACAGCGCGCGTTCGGGTGGGACGAGCCACGGCGTTCGCATAGAGGAACTGACACACCCAGTGCCTTCTCAAGCCTGGAATTTGACACAGTCTTGAGGAATTGGCCAACGGTCAAAATGGATAACATTCTATAGTTTAGTGGTCTAGGTGGCTAGGAGAGGGAGAGGTTTAGTGGTCATTCAAACTTGACTCCTACTGAAGTAGCCGTGCTGATTGTGAGTGAGATTCGAGTGCATGGCATATCGAGGTTGATGGTCGATCGATTTACCTTACCTCATTTAGTTGATCCTAATTAGTGAGACCAGCATGATGGAGAACTGGTAAAGAAGGAACTTGGTTTAGTGAATTCAAAACACAACCTCAACGACCCTCCTGGGCGTAGGAGAATGATATCGCAAAGTTTCGTTACGGTGGTATGGGCGTAGACAAGACGAGGGCTATGATCATTGTTAATATTCGAATGTAAGTGAACAAGGGCTAACGATATTCGTCTTTATGAATTTTCCAAGATTACGCACCACGCCCAGGTTCCAGGTACTAGAGCGCGCCGGATCCACCCGAAACCATTTGGGTGTCTTCCCATTGTTGAACCTTCCACAAGCGGTGCCGATCTAACTTTGGCGAAATGGCAGTGGCAGTGCCACCAACCATTCTATATACTCGACTTCCTTTGACTGGTTGTATTGTTTTTGCTTATAACTTGGTTCAGGGAAACTAGTAGATAAGTTAGTAGGTATAGCACGAAGTTTTAACCTCGGCGTATGTATACGACATAGGTGCTTAAGAACCATACAGTCAGTCTCTTACTACTCAGACCAGAAGTCTTGCATCAACTGGACGACTCCGGAGGCCGCTGCTGTTTGGTGATCACCTTCGAACTTCGATTCATTTCAATGTCATGAATCTATTGTCACGCTTCTCACACAGAGCGATATTGCTCCTGTAGATTGAAGAACATGCAAAGCGTCAACACACTACCTAACCTTACTTGCGTTTTGAAACATTTTCTTTCCGGAATATATGTTTTCGCCTGCATTCCCCATCTCCCCGAATCCCCCGCACATTCCCCCCTCCTTGTACTCTCATGTTATCAATTACCTCAGGATTCATATGTACGAAGAACACTAAATTTGTCATCAAAATACATCACCAATTTACGAACAGAGTCATTCGTGAACCGCGCATGAGACAAATTATGTTTTATTCCACTGACTGTATTTTTCTAGATACCTTGGCTGTTGTTCCGTTTGTCGACATGCTCAATCATGACCCGAGCGCACAGGTAACCACTTCTCCTTCTTCCTATTCATTTTGCTTGGATTCGATACTTTTCGTGTGTATGTTTCAGTGTTTGGCTACATTTGAACGATATTCGAAGAAATACGTAGTGCGTGCATCGCATTATATACAAGATGGTCAACAAGTGACTGTGTGCTACGGACCGCATGACAACGCTCGGCTATGGCTAGAGTATGGCTTCACCTTATCCGACAATCCTAATGGAAAGGTGTCCATGGAACACGGTTGGTAAAGAGCTAAAACTTGAATTCGTGACACAGAAAACTAACAACAAAACTGTTCAAATCAAATCTAAGAAAATTTACTCCTATACAATCATCACATTTCCATTTCATTTTTCCATTTCATTTCCGGCGAAATTTCATCCCATGCTTCCAAATGAGCTTTTTCAGAGATTCCAAAGACCAATGTTTGATAGCGCAGGCTTTCTGTTCCAGAATCGACCACACAGCAAAATCCATAGGATTGAGGTCGGGGGTGTTTGAAGGCCAAACCTCTTTCGTCCAAAAACACGGAAGCATGGCCTCACACCGCTGCAGTGTCTTCCTCGCGCTGTGGGCCGGTGCCCAATCCTGCTGAAAGGTCTAGTTAACGTTTTTCGCGTTGTTCTCAGCCCAAAGAATCACCGCATCCTCGAATCTGCTTTCGATATATTTCAGCATTGATTTTCACTTCTTTTTCCACCAAAACCAGCTTAGTCTTGCCTAGGCCCCATATTCCAACCCACACCATCACCGACTGTGAATAATGAGATTTTTCGACCTTGACTACTCTTGGAGATCTTTTTGGGAGCAATATCCTTTGTTTCTGCGGGTTCCGGAACGTTTCCACGGTGAACATTTTCTCGTCTGTGAAGAGGATTCGCCCAAGGCTCTCACTGCGCCCAAGGGTTTTCATCTTGCATTTTTCCAGTCTTGAAGCCTTCATTCCTTCGGTAAGGCGTTGTCCCTTCGCTGTTCCTCAGCCAGTTTTCTCATGCTTCTTTCAGGATCTCGGCGCAGCTTGTCTTTGACGACCTTCCGAAGGGCAGAGGTCCTTACAGTTCTTTCTAGTCTTCCTCTTGGACGATTTTCAATCTTTTCAGTCTCCTCGAATCGCTCAATGACGCGATGTTCTTGCTTTCGATGGAGTTTGAGCATCTTGGAAATCTCGGAAACTGATGATCCGCGTTTGTACATCGCGACTACTGCTGAACGATCGTCAAGCGAAAACATTTTTCCAAGGAGTAGCAAAGAAGACTCCCACATTAGGTCCAAAGAATGCGGAAAAATCAAATAACCACATAATATAGCGAAAGAAGAAAACGAGAGGCCCAGAAACTGATTTTTTGTTGTCCGTCACACTTCATGTGGGTCACCCTGTATAATCCATTTGTCGTAAGAAGCAGATGGTTCTCAAAGAGAATTTATGGTGGGCTGCATATTTCGGTTGGGTTCATTGCACGGGTGGAGGTGCGGGCTAGGCCTATCTACCACACACATTGTCTGATGAATGAATTCTGGAGCAATTCGCACACAGGCTTACCGATGCTTTCATCCCCCGGGGTTGGTATATTGTTTACCACGCTTGTCCGGAAGAACGGGAACACTGGCTTGTTCGTTGGTCTGCTATCCCAGGTCACTGTAAAGGTCACATATTCATTCGAATGCCACTAAGAGTCCAAGTTGAATATGAAGACGCATTCATATAAGTAGAATTTCTTTGAGCAATTTGTAGGCCATATCTGACAAATATATTCATTTGTGTCCGATCCAACTGATTTGTTCTTTTCAGCTTTGTTCATCGCTTTAGCAAGAAAACTCGGCCTAACCGTTTCATCAGCGCATGAGCAAGCTCTCAAAGATGCATGTTTCCCGTGGTAAGTAAAATCGATTGGTTTTCAACATATATCATCCGAGCTTACTAGCTAGCTTGTAGCTTACTAACACTGGAATAGAGCTTGTCATAATGCCTAGAGCACGAAAGTGGCTTCGTTCAACGCAACCCATTCTTGGTTTTCTTCTAGTTGTAATGGGCGATGCTTTCCTTTGGCAAAACTTTAGTTTTTATGCCAGTCAGTGATCTCTCTTTTTGAGAGTGCATAACCATGATCTGGTATCGATATTAATCCGTGTCTGATTGCCTGACGGTGATTTCACTCTACCAGGCTTCGGAATCAATCCCCTCATGTGCACGACACACAGTGTTGCTTCGCACCCCTTTATTATTAGCAAAACGAACACACAACATCGAATCGAAATACAATAGGCCACTAACTAGGCAGTGTTAAGTGAGACAGTTCAAAGCGATGGGCTTACTGGCACAATGAAATGCTGGGACAGCGAACGGTTTAGACATAGGAGGAAGTGAGTGGAAGGACTTTTTCCAGCCACCTAACCGCCTTCACGAACAAGGGAGGACGCACCCTTACGAATACACTAAGGATTAGAAGCAAACATGTTCGACTTTCACTTAATCTTGGTATGGTATCCTGATTGAGCTACTGTAATTTGCGAGACCTTTCTAGTATCTACATTCCACATTTGAACTAAGATGAGGTCTGAACGTCCTTTGATCAGGATGAATCTCAAATGTTTTCCGGCTTCTAGGCCCTGACGGAGGCGATTGGCCGAAATGTTAGCCTATTAAAAAATTGTACATTTTGATCGAGGCTTCAGGGAAGAAAATCTGAAACTGCGAGTTCTTACATATTATAGCAATGAGTGGCACTACTTATTAGTTAGTCTGGAATCCTGGGTCGACCCAGGATTCCAGACGATCACGACTAGTGATCTTCTTGTCATCCTCGTTAGCGGCAATCCGTGACCTTTTCGTTCTGCCTTGCTTAATTGACTCTGTGAGAAACTCAATACTTTCGATAGCCTTCGTTATCGTAGGCATTGGCTCAACGAACAGCCTTGGATGTTGAGCGCGAGTCAATTCCTGCTTACTGTCCGTGGCAATGGTAGAGGGCTGCTCCACGGTCAGAGAGCGAGAGCTAGAGTTCAGTCTTTTTACTGAGAGCGACCAGCTATCAGAACAAAAGAATCACCGGCATTCTTAGACTTAAAAAACACAATGAAGCCTACCCAATAAACATGCCCCTTTCGCAGGTTTTTTGAAAAAAGTTCACCTACTTAGTGGAAAGTGAGCTGCCGCCGATTCTGCATCGCAGGAGAGTCTTTGATGTTCGGAAAGGGTGTCAAAAAATCAGTCAGAAACATTGACTTTGAGATGAGTGATGGCAAAAAAAGTTCAAAGTGATTTCTTTCTGAACGATACTGTACGATGCTTGAAAAGAATCTGGACAAAGACGGGTGTGGCTCGACTTTATCGCCGTTTACCGGGGAAGTTGGGCACGGCACATCAGATCATCGTCATCTCGAGTGCTATACGGTGCGGTGCGTCATCGGAAAGGTGCTGAATCTGAATGACTTTCCTCAAGCTTCTCTGTAGTGTGGCAACTTCGAGTACGAAAGTTCTTTCACTATGCGGTGGAGCGGAACATATTGTTTTCTGTCTTACAATAAGTATCACTGTCACCTTCCAAAAAAATTTTTATTTATTTCTTCTCAGAGTTGGGACTAATTTTAAATGTTTGGTAATGGTAGGATCTAGACTTGGAAATCGTGGAGCAGTCTCGGCTAAGCAAAGAAGCATTTCATCTAACATTAGTTACTACCGCTCTCAGTGTAGTGTTGACACAGACCTTTTTTCTTTCGAACTTATCGACTCCAAGGAAATGGCTAATTGCAACTATTTTTAAGCAGGGCGTAATAGAGCTAAATAAACGAAATTTTTGTAGCAAGTTCCTGTGTAGAAAGGGAAAGCAGTGAAGGCACTGTGTTTCAGTACAAGTGAGACAGCCGAATCTTGACGCAATCTTATATGAAGTTGATGTTGCTTTTCATTGCTTCCATCTCTCCCTTACTATTCAATCATTTGTGCAAATTTTTGTTATGTAAGTGTAGATTCTTACCTGTGTACGTAGTATTGTGAATTTCTGTGTTTAGCACGTTGTACTTGTCAGATGCGGGACCGAGTTGGGCACTGCGTGTGAATATGAGGATTCTTATGCTTTCCCCATCAGATATGTAAGTTTTTGTATGCTGAAACTTAATTGTCGACGTCGAAATGACTGTGCCTCTTCACAGAACGAGGTGGCGAGAAGTGGTATACGAAGAAAAACCGAAGGATGAAGCATCTGATTCTGAAATTTGTGAGGAATCCAGCGAGAGAGAAAAAGCCGAATGTCAAATGCTGAAACAAATACTGAATGAGTTGAAACAGGCCCTCGTTACGAGACTTGAGAAGGTTTGCTGTTTGACTTTCATTGGAACCAAATACTAACGGTTTATTCTGATTCATAGTTGAAAATTTTGTTGAGTAGTAGCTATCAGCCTCTCGAAAATTGGAGTTTAACTCCTCCGCGTTTTTTCTGACTTTGAAGTCTAGCAGCCAGGAACTTCATCCACTATGGACATAAATTCTACAAAAAATCCTTTATACTTATGAATCGCTACCTGCTACATTGTTGTGAAACAGGTAGAGTTCGACTGAGGTGAACTAAAAGAGCAGCCCGCGCTGGCCCCTCTACATAGTCGGTAAAGTTCATTGCAGTTTCCGCGAGCCCTTGACCCACCTTTGCTAAGGACTTCGGATCTGTTATGTCAGGAGATCAAGATTTATCCATTAAAAGTCACAAGGATGGCGCTGTCTGGGAAAATTTCGGCCTCGGACTGTACTCGAACCCGTCTTTGTGCTTTGCGGGCACCGTGCTCGTCATCCTTACCTACCGAGATTCCGTCTACCCTTGTCTTCTTAATGGATTCTACGTCATGACCTATCAGCACTCACACGCACAACATCTACAAAATAAATCATTCCAGAACCACTGACAGAGGTTACTAACCCTTCTTCATTTCTCTTACTCATTATTTAATCTTTTCAGGTACCAGAAGAGCTGAAATGGATTTGGCAGGAACAAGTCTCGATAGTCAACGTCGCACTGTCGTCTTTCACTATATGACATGGTCTTTGACTTAACCTTCGTAAATACTGCCTGGTGTATAGTTTCTTTCTGGAAAAAAATACTGACTCATTCCAGTCTTCGCTTTTGTTCCGTTGAATCTTTGGAACTTACAAAATTTTCAACGATTGGGCTATCGAATGCTAACTTGCGCGCGACAACAAGTTGACAATTCAAATCAATAGCCAGTGTAACTGCCTACAAGATTTGATCATCACGACCCATTTTTATTCTTGCAAGAAGTGATCGTTTCAAGCGATATTTCACTGTCTGGTGCCCTACATCACTTACGGTTAATCCCCTGAGCTTTAAATTGCTTTACCGTTTTTTTTTTTGTAAAACTCCAGTCATCCCAGCGAAAACTTCGCTCATGTCAAAAACCTCCCTTTCGCGAGGACTCCTCTGTTTGAATATTCTGTTAAATGGTTACGCTATCTAGTAGTTCCACCGACTGAGTAGTCTAGGAGCCTGAGTACTTTTGGAGTTTTACTACCACCCACTTTGCTGAACGTTTCCAGAATGAGTTTCTGATCATTCCTTCCTTTTTGCAGGGTTCTACGAACCACTTTCATGAGTGCCAGCTTTTCGAAGCCGTGCTATGTAGTTTTAGTTCATGCTCCATATATCCAGATGCTTATGCTGTCTACCATCATCGCTGAACTCTTCCGCTTCAAGGGTTCTACATCTTTTGAACAAGCCTGGATATTAGGCGCCTAACAGGCCCAATGAAATGCAGCTACCATATGCATTTCATAATTTTTGTAGTTTCTAGGCTGTTCTGAAGTAGCGCACTATAGGCAAGCATATGATATTATGTTTTTAGACGCTCAGCCGACCACCGAGCGTTCTAAAAAGCCCTCTCTTCATCAACAGTTCTTAAGCCAAATTGAGAAATTTAGCTTTTTCTCTTAAGTAGTTCAGTGGATATCCTGAACCGCGTATGAAGAGTTCTCTGAGTTCAAATATGCTCTTGTTTATCTCACTGTAGGTGAGACCTACCCGTTGCATACTCGCTCAGCCCATGCAAGCGCTTCTTCAGATGATTGAGAACATCGTAGTCTGATAAGTAAATAGACAAAACACTTTATATACATTTTTAAAGTGAGAAAGAACGAAAAACAACAACAATTATATGTGCAAAGATAGAACAATGTTCAATAACGTGATTTCAGATCAGTCCGAAACAAAGACCCATTCAAGATAACTTTTCATCAACGCTATACAGGCAGGGGGACGGTAGAAACTCTAATGAAAAAACACGTTCCAGGCACACAAAACCTAGTACGTACCGACCATATAAGCATGCCACTAGTCAGCCGAGTCTTGCACGTAGTCGACATTCCTGACTTAACAATTGTTCTAAAAGTTAATAGCAAAGCAGTGTAGAAGACTCAAGAGAAGAAAAAAGTCTCTGAAGAAGTAAGAGAAGGATGACAAAATAACTTCATATAATAGTGATACCGAAGAGAGGAAAAACGTTTGAAATCAAATGAAAAAAACTTGGAAATTCGGCTTCGAAAAACTCTTCTTCGGAAAATAAGGCTGGTGTTATGTGCTTTACTGGGAAATACGTAGGAAGTCTTGGGAACCTTTCGGCAAGCCGACTTTATATCTTCTAAATAACAATTTTGGGATGTCTCGATTTCCTCATGTAATCCTCCAGTTCTCGATCTAGCTGACTAATCGACTTTTTGGGTCTCTGCGGATAGCGAGTTTTCCTAAGAGTCGTTCCACCTCGTGCTTGGCCACCTCTACCGAAGGCGGATGTGGGACGATTCTTGAAATTTGGGTGGCTCCCGAGTCCACGAGTACTGTTCCGTTGTCTGAAATGTGCTTGTGAGGCAAAGCGAAGCATAGCCATCAAAACCGTTCAGCTCACCCTTGATTCCGTAGGGCCCCACGGCCACGAAGCCCCCTTGTGCTCGCTGGCCTTCTCTGATTACGAGGAACAGGTATCGGCACATAGACCACCTGAGGTGTCGGAGGAAGTGTCACCCGCTCTTCTGAATACTTGTCAATTAAGGTTGCATAAGCTTTAGGGGAAACACCATCTATTTCAGAGATGAACAATATTGTTGTTTAGCATGTATTAGGTTGGAAGGAAAGTCTTGCAACACAATGAAGGTCTTTTTCAAATCATTCCTAAAAATTTCCAGACCAATCAGTATTTGGAAATATATTTAGCAAAGAGGTCAACAACCTTCTATTATCCTTTGGGTAAATCACTGATGCCTTTTATCCAGGAGTGAGGAAGCTGTGACTCAAAGAAGTAATTGACGGCCGTCTTCAAATCACATTAAGTTATGATTTTTTTCTCCACAACGGTATGCTCAAGGCGGTGTACATGGTAGGTAAAAGGGGCAACACTTAGAGAGTACGACTGATGAACAA